TCATGTACCCATGCACTTTCAATAACATTAAACACATCTTCAGGTACTGTTGTTGGCCGTTCCATCCGTTTCCCCACTTGCAACATAATCGACAATATTCCAACAATAAGGGAAACTTTTCTTTCCCAAAAGCTTCACACCATCCCAAGCACTCATACATTGTAATTGAAAATGAGTAGACATCAGCAGCATGTTTGTATTTTTCTTTATTTAACACTTCAGGCGCCATATACTTTGGTGATCCAATTCCTTTGGTGAATGTCATATTAGTCATCAACATATTGATATTTCTTGAAGACCCAAAATCTGTCAATTTCCCATTAGCAATCATTTTGTCTTCAAGTGAAATGACCAAGATATTATCTGGCTTGATATCTCTATGTAATATCCCATTTTTGTGTAAGTATGCAATACCACGAGCAGCATCCAACATTAGTTTAAGTCGCATCTTCATTAAAACTATTATGTCTTTATTTTTACGTATTAAGTCCTGGAGACTTCCATATCGAGCAAATTCAGTAACCATGCACATCTTGCTTTTGATAAACACAGCTCCATAGAAATGAACGATAAAATCACATCGAAACTTGTCGAGCATTTTTACCTCTTTGTCAAATTCATTCAATGCCTCCGGTGTCGTGTTTGCTTGTTTCATCTTTTTGATTGCAACTTCGTTTCCTCTAAATTTACCTTTAATAACAATACCAAATGATCCTTCTCCCAATTTATTTTCTTCAACTAACTCACCAGGGTCGAGTCTGATGGAATATACAGTTGTCCCAACAAGTTCGATTTTATTCATTGCTTCTTTTCCTTGTTTTAACGACTTCGATATGATCATCACAGAACTATCAATTTTACATGTACACACTGGTGAAATAAATACTTCAAATTCACAAGCACACCCTTTTCGTAATGTACAAACTTCCGGATTAAAACGAATGCTGAACTTTTCTTCGTCAGTTTTCAATGAAAATTGGACTTTCATAGTTCTCTCAGAAACATTACCAACACAAATAAGTTGTCGTGTTTCTTTATCTAAAGGAAGCTCCGGCGAGTCTTCGTTAAAATCAAGTGGCACTTTATTTACACAAACTCCACCTTGGAGTTTTTCAAATTGAATATT